ATAATTGTGCAAAGTTTTATTTAAATATTTTAGCATTTTAAAAAAGTAAATCAGAGCTAAAAAAGTGCAAAAACATAGGCAAATTTGCCTGTGTTGGTCTACATATTAAGGGATAGGATTATTAAATGATATAGATGAAAACAAACTATGTTTTACTTAAGCTGTTTTATATAATTGTACACCGGGACAATTACGTTTACTTTTATGCTGCCTTATAATAGAAGGTATGATGGCACAAACAATATAGCAAAATTATCACGAATTACTAGCCAAAGATTATATAAACAAAACAAATAATCAACAGCAAGGTGAAAATGAAGCGTTGTTATGGATAGATAATTTCTTAAAAGAAAATAGCTGTGATATGACACAGTGTGGTTTACCTCAACCACATGGCTGTCTTGATAATTAACATGAACCACACAACAATACAATAATTATAATCAATTAATTATAGAAAGAAAAAAAATGTTTGACGAATTAAACCCCGAACAAAAAAAAATATATCTTGAAGTTTTAAACTATGTACAAGAAAATAAACCTTTGACATTAGTTATTAATGGATGTGCAGGCCATGGAAAAACCTTTTTAGCAAATACTATATGCATTGCAATAAGAAGTCTAAAAAAAATAATTTTATCTTGTGCAACAACTGGGTTAGTGGCACTTAATTATGATGGAGATCGCACAGCACATTTGTTATTCCGCATTCCAATAGAATTTGAAGACGATGAGTGTGAATGTAAAATTAACCCTAATAGCGAACATGCTAACTTAATAAGAGAATTATCTGCTATATCATGGGATGAACTACCAATGGCCCAAAAGGGTAACATAGAGGCAGTAGATATACTACTAAAAAATCTCTGTAAATGCAACTTACCTTTTGATGAAAAAATCTTTATTGGCCTAGAAGATTTTCACCAAGTTGCTCTGGTAATTCTACATGCAGGACATGCCACCACAATACTTGAATTAATCAAATCTTCGCCAATTTGGAAAATTTTCAAAGTTTATAATCTTCAAACTCCAATATGAGATACAAATAATCTAACATATTCACAACTTATAGACAATATTGCTGATGGTTTTAATGAAGAGAATGCTACCTTATCTTTGTTAAATACAACAGACAACTTAAATAACACTATCAATTTTACTTTCTCTGCTTATATATTAAATAACCCAACCAAATGTCTTCAACGAGCTATTCTCTGTCCATTAAACATAGAAGTTAATCTAATTAATGATACTATTTTAAACCAACTAGAAGGTGATGCAACTGAACTATATAGTGCAGACAACTTAGCAGATAATGAAAATAGCAAACTTCAAAACAATAATATGTATCAAAGAAATATGATTAATTTTGAACTATTGAATTCATTCAATGCATCTGGAGTTCCCAAACATTGTCTCAAACTAAAACGTGGCTGTGTGGCAACTATAATGCGAAACCTCTCACTACACGACAGACTATGTAAAAATACAAGAGTAATAATTACAAATATAGGTCATAGACTAATAAGTGTACTAAATCCTACAACAAATAGTATTATACATTTACCACGAATTACCTTTTTATTTTGCGTTCCCTATTTTCCATTCAAAATTTCTTGCTGTCAATTCCCTTTATGTTTAGCATACTCTTCAACATTTAATTCCTCACAAGGACTGACATTAAACTGTGTTATACTTGATTTATGTATATCAGTATTTAGTCATGGTCAACTTTATACTGCCTTAACACGAGTTCGTGAATGAAACCACATATTAATACTTACTAAAAAAAGCTATCAACTGGGATCTTTTATCACAAAAAATATAGTATATTCAGAACTAATCAAATAAATTAATAATGATATCATCATACAAATGATAATCGATAGCATAAAAAATTAAAAATTAATATAAAATATAAATATATAAATAATATTTGCATAAATAAAAATTAAAATTTCCACTAAAAT